CGGAGAGTCTCCAGACTGATTAGCGAGTGAAACCTTGAAAGCTCGCGAGATCAGGATGTCCTCTTGAGGCTAATTTTGTCTAGTGGTTAGAGAAGTGCACTTGTGTTCTGAGAAGGGTGCAAGGGCCCAGTTTGATCCCCACAGCCTCCACTCTTGGTCCCTGTGCAAGATTCTTAAACCCACATTGCTCCCCCGGGCGCCGCACAATGGCAGCCCGTTGCTCCCCCATGCAGAAAGTTCATTTCTTTTCTTTCTTTCTTTATTATTTGTGTAACCTTTTCTCCTTAAAGGCATAAATTCTTCTCCCCAGGACGTCTCTATGCTGTTAGGCATTGGGTCTTTAATGATCCATCACAGAATCTTAGGTGTGGAGTTGGACATACTTGCTGTATTTGGTTGGAGTTGTTATAGATCCACTCAACTTCTCTTATTTCTTATTCCTTGTTTCTTTTATCTATGCGGGTCAAAGTCATTGGAACAGGTTATCTTTTTTGTCTTAAAGGTTAGATTGTAGTGCAGAAAAAGCTGGAGGTGTCCGCCTGCCGGGAGACCAGTACATTGTGTACACGCATACTGATGGCAACATAGTGGACCCTTAGAGACCCAGCACTAAAGAGGGGGGGGGGGCAGGGCAATAAAGTTTTCTCTCTTTGAGCACCTAAAATGGCACAAAAGTTCAGCTAACCTAGAATGTGGGGGAAAACTAAACCGAATGCATCCATCAGAGCCTCCATTATCGTGTGGTGAGGTATACTCACTTAACCAGGAATGCAGAGATTCAAGTTCAAAGTTTTCATGCTGCTCCAGCATAGGCACCATGCTGTTGGAATTTGTGAGAGAACTCACAAAGAATGTTGTGTCGTTTTTGACTACTTTGTCACACTTTTTCCTGCGTGCAACCCTTTAACTAGTGCTTGTTTTGAGCTTTCAGGTGAGGCTTGTCTGAAACAACTGCAGCAGTAAGTTTGCCTGAGCATCTAGCTGATCGCTTCAATGCCTAAATCCTTATCCAAGACTCTAAGAAATGCTAACTCAGCTAATCCTGCCTGTCCTCAGTAGAGGGTAACTGTCTCTGCCTCAGTCTCTCAATAGTTTGTGAGACATAATCTGTTGATCTAAAGAATTGAAGCAAACTTAAAACAAAACACAACAGAAAACGCAGGTTACTTCACCTGGGGGTCGCGGATTCCCTGTTGAAGACCTCCGGCCTAAGGGATGCATTTCTGTTGAAGTTACTGGTGTAGATTAATGGAGATGTTCAAAAGCTAAAGCTGAAAAAAAGATATAAATTTAATCCATACTGGTCTAGTTTTCTGTTTGAGTTCTGGATTAGGAGTTGTGAACAAGACATCTACAGTAAAGACAATAATCTAAGAACTGGAGGCCAGGAAACAGGAAATTCTACTGGTGACACTTTGCTTAACACTGGTCAACCCTGTCTTGTGCCTGACTTTGGTCCACATCCACTTAGCTGGTATGTACTTAGGGGATAACAGGAAAATAGAAACATGGTCTTAATTGTTTCATAGAAAATCATCTTAGCAAGTTTGTGCTTAGAGCATTCTTAGAGGCTAAAAGAAGGCATGTTATATTGGATGCACAGTTTGGCCATTTTTATCCATCTCCATGGTGCTATTGCCTAGCAATCATTAACATCCCTTCAGCTCTTTGCTATTAGATCCTAAGAATCCCTAAGGCTGTCTCTTGTTTAGGATGTGATTCAATGAGAGTGGAAGGATTAGCCCGTGGTTGTGTTGTCCCTACCTCTGGCTAATCTTTTATTCTGAATGCATGGAAACTCCCATGTTGCAGCTTCCATGTTGTTTCTACCAATTAACAACAAACATCATCTCTTGGTACTTTACAGAGACAATTTAACCAGATCATCCAGCCAGATTTGTTCAATGTTTTCTATCTAAGGAAAAGCAGCTCATTGCATCGACTCATTGACTTTGCAGGAATTGATAAAACCGCACATTTGTGCATCTGAAGTGGAGAGAAAAGCTCCTTTTAACAGTGAAAAACTTTTATACAAAAGGAACATAGAACATCTAAGCAATGATCCATAATGTCAGAAGAGATAACGGTAAGCTAGCTCCATAGGTGCCTCTGTCTGTTAAAGAAACGATTAAGCAGACGAGCTCTGAACCAGTTTTTACGTCATACGGATGGAAGCACATCCAGTTACACACAGCTATGACTAGGAGAGAAACACAACTAAGCACTAAAAAACAGACCAAACCCTGTCATCTATAATAAAAGGTGTTGCTGCTAGAAGCCCAGCTGTTTTTTTTTTTCCTCCAGTATGTTCACAGCCAAACATGATCAGACCAGCTGAAGCTACTATGATGAGAAAAATGGATGAAGTACTGCAGAAGAGGAGAATAGATATAGAATGAAGCTGAATAATGTAAATAGGTCTCTATGTCCTCCAGCAGTCTAAGCCTATAGCAGCACAACTATATAGATAGCTCAGGATAACCCGAGCCACTGTAAAGCTTGGTTTATACATGTCCCCATGGTCGGTGCAGCCAAATTGCTTAACTTTGGGTTCCACTCCCCTCTGCATGGTGTTCGTGCATCGCAGACCAAGGAAAACTTGTAAATACCTGGACAGTGTGGAAAACATGTCGAGCAAAAAGCAGCTCCGGCTGGCAAGGGTTTGCAAAAATAAAAAACTTCTAATTCAACCATTTAGCTCATCAATATCCCAACTATGAACAACTTGTGGAAAAACTCCTGGAAGGAAAGGACTGTCGCAGCTGGACGACACAAAGAGAATTTGCAAAAGCTGTAAACTGCTTCGTTTTCTACCTCCTCCCTGTAATTTGCACAGAGGACTAACCAAGTTTAAATGCTCATTTACCACATGAAGGTTATATGTGTCAGGTATAATGAGGCCGTAAGTTGCATAAAAATGGAAACTTTTAACCAAACAGTAGTAGTCCTTAAAGTATTCATAATGTAGTGTTTAAAGTGAAAATGTTTAATTGTGTTACACATTTAAGCGTATTTCGTTTGAATTCAGAGAGTTTGCATTAATCCAATAATATTTCCTTTTCCACTTATAAAGTATCAACGGCTTTCTTTTGGTCAGAGAAACCAAACCAAATTAAATGAATTAAAAATCCAGGGGTTGTTAATGATGACATATCAAGAAGGTTGTGTGTTACAATATGTCTATTTTTCCATATACAGTAGTTGCTTGGCCGGGAACATTTCTTTGATACTATCATGCAAGAAACAGGAAAATGACACAGACACCATGAGATTTAGTTTCTGTGACGCTGATGGAGATGCTGTGACTCTGTCACATTGCGGACTACCGCGGCTAGCTTCTCTTTCAGTACAGCAAGTGCAAGGATCACAAGTAAAGTGGGGCCATGTTACTCAACTGGGTAATCAGACCCTTCTGGGGGTTGCATACCAGAGCTCCTATAAGTCTGTACACTGAGGTACTTGGGCTGTCCTGTAGAGTTCCTAGAACTGAGGAGGTGACCATAAGGAGGGGGGGGGCTTTTATGGCTGTTAGCCAATACTCCAGGGAAGACTGAGACATACATCACAACAGGGCAGTCAAAGAGGGAGATAGCAGAGTTAGACAGGAGTAGATTAAGAGAGAGCTGGAAAACATGCGACTCTGAAAGAGAAGAGAAATAAAGTTGCTCACAAGGGTGCTGGGTTTGCAGGGGGCAGTGAGCCAAGGCAAGGGGCTGACTGTTGGAGCTCTGTTTGGCCTGACTGCAGCTTAGGAGACAGACAGAAAGGGTTTAAACTGCTCTGCAGACCTAATGCCACACCTACAACACGTGGGGACACATGGACGACACCACATTCTGTATCAGTGCATCTGGTGGGAGCATCCCAGGGAGCGCCTGCAAGCTTTCATTTCACAGCGAATTGAGGAGCAACAATATTTCAGCCTATTTGCTTCCCTATGTCTGATTTTCCTTCCCTTTTCTATTCTCTGTAAGCCTTGCAGAATATTGATTGAGCTTAGTGCAAACTTAAGTGCTGGCGGTCTGTGGGACTGGCTTCACAGATAAGCACTTTTACTGGATGTAGATCAATGGCATCAACATCAGCTATTGCCTTCTGGCCAGATTTGACCATAAACTTGCTTTGACTGCATGAAGCCTTAATAGAGGAAGCACAACGCAAGTGTGGCAGGCTTAGTGTGATACAGAGAACCTGGCCTGCAGCCAGGGAGGGGGTTATCAAAGGTTACACCTGCTCCAAGTTTTATTAAAAGGCCAAGTGGCACACAGGTCAGCCAAGTCACGTTTCCCAACGTAACAAAATAGAGGAACTTAAGAAGCTAATGCAGCTAAGCTGTAAAGGTTCTCTTAATGTATACTCCAGTTCAATCTGAAAAACGACAGAAAAAGATTTTTATTGATAATAATTGAACTTTATTGATCTTCCATTGGAGAAATGCCCTCTCTGCATTTAACCCCTCCCCTTGGGGAGAAGTGGGCTGCCATTGTGCAGCACCTGGGGAGCAGTGTGGGGTCTCACTCAGAGACTCAGAGTGGCAGTCTGTGGGAATGGGGTTCGAACTCAGAACCTTAGTATTCCAAGCTCTATGCCCTGACCACTAGACCGCCACTCCCAGCTGTTATCGACACAATTACTTTAGTCCTTGGCGCTCAGACCTCGGTGGGAAACATTAGCGCTGAATTTTGTTTGCTATGCATGAACAAGAGTAAAGAACAGGGATGTTTCCCCCCCAGGCCTGAAACTGGTGGTGGAGTGGAGATAGATGGAGTTGGTTAGTATGGTGAGACCCAGTGGACTGCATGAACTGATACTCATATAACACTGGTTGCATTAACCTGTCCATGATGAGCAAGCGTGAAGCGACAGTGGAGAGGAAAAACTCCCCATTGGGAAGAAACCTCTGGCAGAACCAGGCTCCACATGGCGGTCTTCTGCTGACCACATAGAGCAACCACTGCCTGCACTTTGGGTAGCAGACTGAGATGTGGATTGGAGACCTTTTAAGATGAACTCTGGATGCTGATTGGGCTTTCATGGTGGTGCTCTTCAAAGCTGATTGGCTGTGTCGGAGGC